GGGGGGGGGGGGGGCAAGAAATAAAGCGCACGCGAAACAGAAAAAGCCGAGTGAAGTCAACAACCGCAAACATTCTTTGTAATGACAAAAACGATCCTTCCCCTCCTGTCCCCAAGCGCCTAATACGCCCCCCCCCCCCCCCTCGCTGGGGATCCCCAGCGTAGGACGTGGTGCGGGCGCCATCAGGGAGGGGGGACAAAATGTCCTCAAAGGAAAGGTTCACGACACTTGATTTCTCGTGATGCAGGCCCGGAGTAAACGTTCTGAACAGATCTACAGCAGGGGGGGGGCGAACTTCGGAGCTATAGGGTTTGAGAGGCTCATTTTGCATTTCGGCCTACTTCTTTTTGTTAGTACTTCTTACATGTGTGCTTACAGCTTACACTTTGGGGGACCTGCAAACTCCTGTGAAGCTACAATATGATATAAGTGAGCCACTCTGATTACAGGAAATTGCAGGTCTCCACAAGTTGGCCTGAACAGGTTATTTTATGCCCCCTCCAAGCCGAACTTTGTTCAAAGTTCTAGCCATAAAAACCAATTCGGACCAAAAAACTAGCCTGAATTCCGAAAAAAGGGACAGTAAAAGGTAGACAGTGCCGAAAATTCTCATAACGAACCTTTTCAGCAATCCACTGCAACTCGCAGTCAACATCAAATGCTAACTGGTGCCACTTCCTAGACTCCTCAAGAGCCGCTCTCCTGGCAGCTGATGGGCCTTCCAAATTCTCGAACCTGGAAAAAAAAGATTAGAAGGAAAACCCCGATACAGGGCAACCACTCCCCAGTTCAGTTTCTTCTTACCTTTTCAGCAATGCTGCCACAGTATAGTTGATCCTGTCCGCATCGAAATGTCCCTGTTCGGCCATTTTGCGGCCGCGGTTATAGATGTCAGCCAACTAAACACCATTACTAACCCCACATCAAAATTTGCGTGAAATTCACCCATCTTTTGCATTTCCACAGACTACTTTAGAACATCTCCGTTGAAGGCAGTGGGCACGAATGCTAAAGGCGGTTGTTGCCAGGGTAACTGCTGGAAGGTTTTGGCCACCTTCCACCAATGGCGTTAGCGACAACCGCCCGCCTCCAGGAATGGGGCTCACCGCCTTTCATATACAGCAGTGACTCACCCTTTTTTCGTAAAGTCCCATTTCTTGTTCCAAAACCGAATGCTTCTGGATGAGATCCTTGACAGCCCTGAGGTCAGAACCTAATTCGTCCGATTTCAGCGCAGTTTCTAGCTCGTCTAGTTTGGCGTGAGCATCCTCGAGAACGCGATTAAGTCCCTGAAAACAACATCATGTACGACGAACATCCCCCTAAAATTCTCCCAGAAAATCTACCTTCTGGTCAGCTGCTTGACGCAGTTTTTCGCCCTTACGAGCAACAGCATCACGTAACTCCGCCCATTCCGTGTTCAGGCGCTTCAGGAGACGGTCAACGTTTGCCGATTCATAGTGCTTCTGGTTGATCAGTGCAGCACCAACCTGGAACTCAGTCAATCGAGCCACGGCTTTATTGGCGCGCAAACTAGCCCATGTTCTATTTTGAGGGGCACATTAAGCAGTTCAGCACTATTCACCTGGTTGATCTGAGCAACTCTTGATGAATTCGCTCCCACTTCGGCTTCGAATGCTTCATGCTTGAGCAACTTATTGGCGATTGATGCCAAATCGCGATGAGAATCGTCGTTGGCCAGCTGTAACATTCATTATATACCTACTGCGAAGAACAACAACTCTATATTCCGAGGTATCAGAACGTAAATTTAGGGCGTTTTTCAATATTGTAGTTTCCTCAAAACGGGTGGGTGATGGTGTCCCCTCTGAGCTGCTCACAATCAGAGCCGAATTTGCCAACTTGCAAGCACTCCTAGCGCTCAAAGGGAAGCGGCTCATACATACAGAGGACTTGTACTAGAGGCACTTTGTTACTTCTAGCCTGAAAGCTAATTCCAGGAACTCAGAAACGACTGCCCGGAAAACACAAGACTGGGAATGATGGACACCGGGAATCGCCCTGTTGTAGGGGGAAATGTTTGCAAAAAACAAGCCCTCCCCTTTCCACCAGTTTCACCCTTTCGCACGACCTCCTTTTCCTTATTTACAAATAGAATTTCTTAGAGTCAAATAGGACCCCTCCCCTCCCGAAGCGACCAGCAAATGCGACTCCTCCACCTAAAATTCCTCTTCTAGTAGGACCCCCTCTCTCCTACAAACAGTTTCTAGGATACGGCCCCCGCCCCTTCTCAAAACAAGGAGCAAATTCGAGCCCCCCCCCTCCCCACAGCGGGGTCTTCCAACCATGTGGGCAGCGCGTATGAAACAAGATAATCAACTGCACGAAAAAATTCGTCCAAAAATGACCCCCGCTGGGATCCCTCAGTGCATGACGTGCCCTGCGGGGAACATACTACATTCACAAACCTGGAGTTAACTCTAGTTCGGTTTCCATCATTGAAGCTACGTTACTTCAGCGGCCTAATCTTTAGAATTAACCAGGAACTTACCCTTTTCTTCTCATGAATCCACGCAATCATCTCCTCCGCATCTCTTTTCATGTTCTGATATTCAAGCGACGCTTCTAGGCACGCTCGGCGCTCCATTGCCATTCGCCTCACAGCGTCACGACGTGCCAGGACCTCTCCTCTACGCTGTAATTCGAAACATTGAAAACGCTCGGAATTTTTACCAGACAGTTATTTTCTAGAAGTTATGCTCAGAACTTGCAAATATTTCTCAAATCTCACCCCATCTATGTAAGCGCTCTCAGAGTGACGGTTCTTGATGAGATCATCGGCATTTCTCGAGAAAGCGTTAAGGCGTCCTTCTTGCGCGTCCAATTTCGCTTCAAGATCACGATGACGTTTCAGGAGGTTCTCCACGGATTCCACTGAGTCCTGAAGGACCGATCGTAAATGATTTTTTCACGCAATTTTTTTGGCCATGTCACTGCAATATACATGTAAAAAACGGTAATTTTCAACACTTACTCCCAAGTCAGCGAAATCCAGGAAAGCTTCATGACCTTTTGTAGCAGCATCAATTCTTTCAGCTTCACGGTTGAAGAGCTGGAGGTCGAGTTGCTCCTTTAGTTGGCCATCCCGCATTCGGTACATGTTCTATAACATGATGAGCTCATATTCAGCGTACGGTAAAGGGATCCTGTGGGCCTAAGGGTAGTACTAGACACTCTACTGTAAGCATTTTGGGAAATTCGCAACCTTCCAAAATCATTCTGACCTTCCTTCACAAATATCCGGAGAGGTCAGTTCATACGGAAACATCACCGCGAAGAGGGTAACCCTCACTTTAAACACTAGAATACTCATGACAATTCTCCGACGATGAAAAGCTCAACACGCGGGTAACCCGTACCTCGCTCTAGCCACTCTTTAGCGAAGGTCAGAATGATTTTGGAAAGTTGCGAATTTCTGAAAATATTTACAGTAGTTTAGCGAAGGACGCTTATATCGTTCACGTGCAGCTAAAACCAGAACACATCCTGGAAAAATTTTTTTACAACACGACCTCCGACCGTCCAAAATTTCCTCCTCTGATGCGATCCCCCTTTCCAATTCTATCTACTTTCTAAATTTTATCCTACTTTCCGGCATTTTTCCGAAGTTCTTCCCCGGAAAACTATGCGAAGTGGGGGAGCGTGAAGTACATTGAAACAGGAAAAACAAATGCGACCTTCCTCCTCGTCCTAGTCAGCGACGGAATACGACCTCCGCGCTGGGGATCGCCAAAGTGCGACGCTCTCCTGCTGAAATAGCTCACAGAGATAGTTGGGAACACAGTCAGGTTCAGGCAGAGGGATACGACTAATGAAGAAAAAGGTACACCCTCAACTACTCGGCTGCCCTTAATCCCAAAATGCCGTCTCTGTAGCTGCCTACCACCTTGGGAATGTCTTGAGGACATATTCCGTAATCAGCGAAAAGGCGTGGACAGACTGCCACGCTTTTCTCCTCCAAACACACCTATCGTAACAGGGCGTACAGGACTAGGAGCGCACCACTGATGTGGTCCACTATACCACCCTTATGTTTAGAGCGCGAACGGGTCATCTTCAGATCTCCACTTCATGGTCCTTCACAAAAAAAAAATTGGCTTCGAATACCTATCTAAAAACTCCATACATCTTACGGGGTGACTTCATCATTCACGAGCAAAGTACAGCCTCGTTCACTACGGATGATGGGGCGCGTCCAGAGAAGCTGGGTTCGGCACGTCGCCAGCCGTTTTCACCAGTTCCTGAGCGGGTAAGCGACAACAGCTGATGGAAAACGACTGACACGAACGATATGATTTCATCTGCCGAAGGGAAAAAATGGGCTGACGCCACGCCTGGTCCGCCCTGACATGTCCCACCATCCGCAAGGAATAAGACTGTATGAATGCCAGCTCACCTTAACTGTATTCATTTCACCGTTAAGATGCTTGAGTTGAGCATCAACTTCACGTAGACGTGGATTTTTCTCAAGTAAACGACGTCCGAGCTCTTGCACGTAGTCAACCTAGAAAATTCTATTGAAACACCGCTTCAGCACATTTCTCATACAATTAACATGCCTCATATTTTTTGTCCATGATCTGTTCCCCAAGTTCGTAATGCTTCTTCAGGAGTTCTTCAGCTTGTTGAACGTCCAATGCACGAACATCTTCGGCAAGTACTTTCTTCGTACGGTCGATCCATATCAGTACATCCCTCAATGCCGTCTCGAACATCTCCTGACCTGAACAGACAAAAGGGACTCTCACGCATAGCACGGCGCCCATTCTGCGACAACCGAATGGGCGGAGACTTACAACCGTCATATGTTCCCCATCAGTGCACCCCTCCATCTAGTCCAGTAAAGAGGAAAGGCGCGCAAAGAGGAAGACGTGAAGGTGGGGCTCTATCCATTCGGTCATCGCGGAATATGGCTTTGAACCAATTTCGCGCAAAAAATTCAACGAAAAATGAGGAAAAATTCTTTTATATATCCGCACAAACTGGCAGTGCAGAGAAATGTACATACCGGCCCAAAAAGCGGCCTCATACTGTGAAAAAAGTCACCTTGCGATTGCTCAGCAATCTTGATCTTTTCATGAGCTCTTCGAAGGAGATCAGCATGAAGTGCACGAAGTTCGGCGATTTTTCGTTCTATGGCAGCTGCCTCCTCTGGATTCTTCTTCTTCACCTGGAACAAAAAGACACCCTGAACGACCTTCTTTTTCAACAAATTTATCCCTTAATACTACCTCAGCTGCAAGTTTCTCCAAGTAGTGAATCTTGTCCTCGAGCGGCTTCAAGTCACGCTCAAGATTCTGCAGGCTCTTCAAATCATTCGGATTCCGATCTAGTAGATCGAATTTGCCCTGGAAACAAGGGACATAATGCTTTAAAGCCAAGGCGCTTGTACAGTTGATTAGGTCGCAACAAGCCGTGGTGGCAGAAGCGAAATTGGCCCACCACCGGCTGTCTTGCTCTGTCATTGGTGAGGTAGCGATTTAGGAAGAAACGAGTGGTGAAATTGAGCTCATTCTATCGTTTTCGCTGGAGGCCGCTCCGAGGCGACTAACGACAAAATCAGCTGTAGGAAAAGAGCAGAGGCTGTCATTTAGCGGCGGCCCACGAATTCCATGACCATCAAAGGGCACCCGTACGGGAGCGCCAGGTGGCGGAAATACGAAGCGACCTCATGGATGCGTACAGCCTCTTCTGCCCTGCTTCACAGCTACAGAAAACCGAAAAGGGAAGGGCGCGCCAATGACACAGTTCACTGTGCCCCGCCCACCTGGCAGTTAAACGGGACATAGTCTTGAGACCCTACAGTCCCCGGGTTAACAAGCAATGGATAAGAAGGCCGGAGGTGGCCCATGTATTGCCCCGAGAAAGGAGCTTTGGCCACACTCCATTGAACCACTCCGCCAATGAAGTTGTTGGCAACCGTCCACCCCAGCGATCATCCCCACCGCCTTTAAAAGGCGAGAAATTCGAAAAGCCTACAAACCTGCATCCATTCTCTAGCATCCTCGCAGGATGAATCGAAGTCTGCAACTCGCTCAGTTGTCTCGAGTTTAGCAGCTCGTTGGGCACGTAAACGTTCCAAATCCGCCCATAAAGCGTTGACCTGACGCAATTCGTTTAGATACATGACGCCTCCAACTAAGCATCACACAAAATCCTTACTTTCTTTGACGTGCCTCAATCTGCCTTGACTGACTGTGGCCTTCACCAATCAGTTCATCTGCCATTACATTGATGTGTTTCAATTGTGTGCCACCAATGTGCTTATATCCGCTTCAAGTCGATCGAATTTCTTACGGAATGCTTTAACATGCTCCACTGAGGGCTGATCCGCAAGCGCAGCTTCGGTCTCGCGGGCCCAACCCTCGAATTCGTCGCATTCACGATAGAACCTTGAATATGTCAGTTGGTTACTTGTTACTTATTCAGTTTTACTGTTTCACTACTCAACTGATGAGCTATGCTAGCTATTTCCCGAATTTGAAAAACCGTTAATGTTCTCCTAAAGGCAAGGGGCACGAAAGGTGGGGGGGGGAGGAGGAGAGCGGGAGGCGGCGGGTTACGCCTACGTCGTTTTGGAACGGCTGCGGAAAGGGCGTCTGCGCCGCACTCCCTTAGCCTTCCAGTCCAATGACAATGCGATCAACGTGCCCGCCCTAGCCATCCGTGCACACCGCCTTGGCAAAATCCTGTCAAAGGTGCCCTCTGCCATGAAACGATGGAGTGAGGCCATTATGAACTTCTCCTCGGTGGCTTCCACACTTCAACCATACTGTAGTGGGCGCACCAATGAGCGAAACACAATATTTGTGAGTCGCCGCCCATCCGGTTGCTGTGGAATCCCTTCGCCTTTGTAAAGTCGCAACGCACTGGGGAACCAAACACCTACCTCATCAATTTGATATTATCGGAAAGGAGACGTCGTCGGACCTCTGCCAAGCTATTCAGTTGTCGGTAATCCGAGGAGATCATCTTCTGTCGGTCAACAATAGCACGCTTGCCGTCCACAACATCGGCATGTGCTTTCGTTGTTGTAGTTGTTTGCGTGACAGTCACCTATGAAGCATAGCATGGACTTTATAAGCGGTAAGTAATGTCGCAGTAGAAATAAAAAACCCTTCTCGACTGCCAGATGGGCGGAGATAGGAAATGATGTTATGGTAATAAAAAAGGTAGGGCGCCAATAACGTCGTTTCCTGGCTCCGCCCACCCGGAACTCCCATTAGGTGTCTCTGAATCGTTCCCAAAAGGAGCATGGGAGATATGTTTGGTATGGTATGTTCAAAACTGAAGACAAGAGGAAGTCAAAACACGTGAAGAGTGGCAGAAAGCTCTTAAGTTTTGATACCAGACCGCTACCAAATACCAAAATACACTGAAGAAAGTAACAGTCAGCATTAACATACCGATTCTCCCGGCACTTTCCTACAGTAATTGGCCGGGACGAATCCTTCAGTGCCATCCTGCTTGAGCACGCGCCACCATTCCGGAGTCGATTGCTCCAATAAAGCAAGAACTTCACCTTTGCCCACAGACATACCGTTCCCTTCGTACTTATAGAGCATTTCAATCTGAGGCACGGACACCTCTTCCGTCTAAAACTTACTTTAGTCTAAGAATGTACTGGTTCCACTAAAAAAAGCTCAAGACAAACCTCTTGAGTGCTTGTCGTTGCAGTATGGAAAGAGCTATTGGCGAGTTGCTGGCTCATTTCCTCTAGTCGAACGAATATCGGCCCTGAAATTTTGTGGATCAGGCCCCGTTCACACTTCACGACTGGGACGATTCTCAAATCGCGCCACTGCGTGAGCCGCCGCCAAACTGCTGAAGTCAAACGCGAGATAGAACTTTTTCGACAGTAGTCAAACAATCAGCATTAGGGCATGGTTGACAGCGATCGCTTTCCCAAATCGCGCGAGTAGCGAAGTATAAACACAGCCTTGGAAACCTGGCGCAAGAAAATGCTCACAGCAAAATTAGTCCCTGACAGCTATTCCCTCATTACACTCGTCAACAAATAGCTGACCTGTATGCATGGATTTCTTCTTCTAGACGAGGCGTGCCGTTGCAGTAACGATTCCGCAGCTCCTTCGTCACGACCCAAATCATCACTTTTCACCAACGGCATTTTTTCACGGATCCAGGACTCTGCTTCGTTTGCGTCCTAAATAAGGAAGAATAGG